TACAGTAGGAGATACCAGACTGAATATTTACATAAAGTTGACTAATCAAGTCATGATTAAACGATGTTTGTCGTCAAGGAGATGATGTTTGACTGAGTAATATCTGACAGAAGTGGCACACTTTGTCCTCTCAATGAAGCGTCATGTGATTGGACGGCCAACCATGCATTTTTCTGTCTTTCAGATCCTGTTTTCATCACGCATGTGTCTGGTTGATCTACCCTTGCCCATTTCAATTTCCTGAAAACAAAGCTCAGGAATGTTGGTGGGCATCCAGATATGCACACAAAAAATGCTTTTGGCTCTGCAATGACATGTAGCTCCCATAACGTGATATGGAAGCAGCTTTAAATTCTTTAATCATTTACTCGTTCAAAACCTGAATGGCCACAGTTCTTCCCTGAAAACAAACCAACACGAGAAAATCACTTTTGTAGCTTTAACACCGATTAATTGTATTCAGTATATACAGTGAAGAATATGAAGTGTTTGATTATTCAGTTTCTGTACGTGAATACTGTTAGACTGAAAAACAAAGCACTGTTTATTTCATTTGTTTCTTTGTTTTCTTGTTTTTATCTATCTATGCTTGTAATTATGTTTAGACGGAATATGTTTAAATTTTCATTTGTACCACTCTCTAAAAAATATTGAATAACATCAAATAGGGTGTGTGGGTTAGTTTTTGCTAGTTTTTGTTAGTTTGTTGCATCTGCTATCTTGAATGCCCAAAACAAATTTCTCCGTTAAGAGACAATAAAGATCAATCAATCAATCAATCAATCAATCAATCAATCAATCAATCAATCAATCAATCAATCAATCAATCAATCAATCAATCAAATCAACTGTCCCCAGTTGTAAGTTGCTTTGGATAAAAGCGTCTACTAAATGACTAAATGTATTATTTTATATGCATATTCATTCCGTCACAAAATCACCCTAAATGATTCATTCTTTACTAATAGCGATATTCAATCATCTGGTGAAACTGCTTTCATATTGTAATATATTGCAGAAAAACAAAATAGCGCAAGTTGAGTTTTTCCAAACATCGTCCAGCCCTACTGAAGACCGAAGGGAAGAAGCTGAAAATTCACAGGAATATATTACATATTAAAATTGTAATGCTCAAATCCAGGGAAAGCGAAGGATGATGAGTATATAGCACAGGGTTTATTTGAATAGACCAAAATAGACAGACAACATGCGAGACAGCGTGTAAACATGTAACACGAACAATACCGGACAACTGAAGAGGCACAGGGACGAAACACACGCATGGTGATTAAAGGAGTTTTGCTGATAATTTACTCGCCCCCATGTCATCCAAGATGTCCATGTCTTTCTTTCTTCAGTCGAAAAGAAATTTAGGTTTTTGATGAAAACATTCCAGGATTTTCTCCATATAATGGACTTCAATGGGAACCAAACGGTTCAAGGTCCAAAAGACAGTTTCAGTGCAAACTGCAAACTGTTCAAAGGGCTTTAAACGATTCCAGACGATGAATAAGGGTCTTATCAAGCGAAACGATCGCTCATTTAATAAATAAATAACAAAGTTTAAGTTTTATTAGCTCAAATGCTCGCCTTGCTCTGTTCTGTGATGCCCGTTCGTGACTCTCCTGTTCAAACTCATTCATCAAAATGAACAAATGTTTTCCCGAGTCAACTCGTTCAATTCGTTCTTTGAATGAACCAGATGACACGAAAAAACATTCATTCATTTTGATGAACGAGTTCGAACAGGAGAGTCACGAACGCGCATCACAGAACAGAGCAAGGCGAGCATTTGATCTTATAAAACTTAAACTTAAGACTCTTATTCATCGTCTGGAATCGTTTAAAGCCTTTTGAACGTTTAAAGTTTGTACTGAAACTGTCTTTTGGACCTTGAACCGTTTGGTATTGTTCTCATTAAATTATCTAATTTATAAGCGTATTATTTGGTACATCCTGATGTTATTTCAGGGTTTTCAGTTTTAGTGCACTAGACGTGTGTACAGTTGCAAGTCTTGTGGAAATACTTTTGAAATGGTGTTTTTTTTTTTTTTTAAATAAATAATAAAATATTCAATATTTATTCCGGTGCGCTGTCTTAGTTAGCACATTAACCACCATTGTATTTCCATTAATGTTCATGGACAGCATGTGACTGGTGCTGCTGTAGTGTGTACACTATATTAGCTCACAGCATGCCTACGTTTAATTATGCTCTTTTTGAAAGTGTTTATGATGTGATGATTCTGTGGTTATGGTGGCTTCACCACGGCCTTAGACTGCACTAACTGAAGGATGTGGCGAGAAGTTCCCTCTTCAGGCCAGGAAATGCAGTCGGAGGAGACTGATGACACACTTCCTTTTGTTTTGTACACGTATACAAACAAACACACACACACACAGAGGCAGCAGGCGGGCAGATGTCTCCCGCTGTGATGTGTGAGGAGCATGTGTGTGTGACGTGACTGTCGGACAGGAATGATGGATCACTGCGGATATTAAAATGTGAGGCCCAACATATGATTTCTTGTTTATGTGTCTAATTTAGAGCCACTGAGAGACTCGAAGCGTTGGGAAACAACGCTGTATGAAATAGAGGTTGTGTTTGAGGATATCGTGTGTTTTTTTTTCTCATCTGAAGATGCTGCTTATGATTTGAGTCATGGGCGAGGCTAGCCCCTTTTTAGGAGCTCAGCACCCCTAAAACTTGGAGAAAGAAATTTGTTATTCTAAAAATTTTGTTCGTCTTTGACACGGTTAAATAATGTCCAAAACATACTCAGTAGTTTGTGGTTTAAAATGAAATGAAAATGAAAACATTTCTCTTCTTCTAACGTTACTTCTTTGAACCTGCACCGCTCAGCACGGCCGTCATCCAGCGCGAAACACACGCAGAATTGTGAGAATCCGGGCCGTTAGGTAGTTTTGTGAATCAATTGAGACGCTCCAGAGCTGTGTCTCACACTTCTTTTCTTTCAGTTGTTCCGATTCCGAAACCATATCGGTGAGTACTGGAGTCAGTATCCTGAATCATTGGTACACCTATAATAAGTGTTTATTTTCGGGCTGTTTTAGTCTAGCGGGTCGCCGCCGCTGTGGAGTAACGTTAACAGAGTGGCAATCGGGAGAGTCGGGAGTTATCCCGGTGAGCCGGTGGTGTTTCGAGGCCGCGAGCGCCGGTCTGATAAAATGTATACATTTCAAGTTCGCCATGCGCCCAAGCGAGGGAAAGCAAAAAATCGAATCCACGATATGGCTGTGTGCCTATATAAAACAGCACAAGACTTTAATAGGCATCCAATTTTGCTGGGTGATTTAAAGAAAAGTGTGCACTTTGCTCACGCGATCATCATGGTTATATCTGGTGTTTTCTCCTAAATAAAAGCTTAAGGGTTTATTTCTTGCAAGTGTAGAAATATGACAAAAGTATTTTAATTTTCCTATAGTGTGATGTTGACTAAAATATACTTTTGAAATATTCATTTTCACTTATATAGTACATTTATAGGCTATATGGATTTTACATCATAGGAATAATTATATAAATCATTATTACATTATTATAATTGTTTGGGGTCCTAAAACACCATTGATAATGTAATGTAGACTGAGACTCAACTAAAAAGATGTTTGAGCCCTCTTTATTGTCCTAGTACAAATCAATGCTTTTTCTTTGTTCAATGAGCAGTTCGTTGAAGGTTGAAGCTCTTAATTTTGATCTCTCAAAGAGCACGAGATTGATGCATTTAACCTTAAAATGTACAAATTTTTCTATTGGGGGGGGAGCATGCCCCCGAACCCCCCTAGGAACAGAGGCCAACCAACATAGTTTTACAAATTTGTTAAGATCTTTAAGGTTGCCTATTTTTACTCCTGGCTGGGGGACTACCGATGAAAATTAGCTCTTTTAGCTAACTCGGGTACATTTTCATTGTTCTAATGTTGATTAATGTGTACACTGTCCCCCTTACAAATAAATAAATAAATAAATAAAATGAAGAGAGAGAGGGAGCGTATATGGATGTAAAATGTGGGTGATGGCGGTGGAGCTCATTGGGTGCTCAGCACCCCTAAAGCTCTGACCCTAGAATCACCCCTGATTTGAGTTAATCCTTTTGCATAATTAAGCTAGCTACATAACTAGCTAGTCCCAGCCCTATTTAAATTCCAGCCCCATGGGAATGCGAAATATCAAGATAATTATTTAGCAAAGCAACGTATCTCAGAGGAAATGATAAATGGCATGGCTCTTGAAGATAAACGGATCAAGCCGATCAGGACGTGCGTTCGACACACACTGATCCGAGGACTGTGTTGGAGCGCTTCAGTGTTTGATGGCAGGTAAAGATACGGCGCGTTCGCTCACGGCTTTAAAGCGTGTGTGTAATCCTCCAGCGTGGGGGTATTTTTAGTGTGTGATCCTCTCAGGAGAGCGCCTCATGTGTTGTGTTTGTCCTCCTGATCAATGCGCTATAGATTACACTTCTCTTCTGACTGGAAGGGGATAAAGAGAGGCTGAGGCCCAGCTGAGGCCCGAGAGAGGAGGATGGGGAGATGTGTGTGTGACTCTGCATGTGTGCTCTTGTAAATTGATTATTCATGGTTCTCTCTCATTTCCTGCCACATTCGGTGGGTTTGAGCATCCCTCACAGCTGTAGATGCTAATGATCGATGTAGCTCACAGAATTAGGCTTCAAATGTGACTAGCATACGCTGCCCGTGTCTGAACTGCTACTGACGGCGCGCTTGTGGTCTATTTTATGGTTTGCTGATCTTGTATAGGGCCTTCTTTGCAGATTGTGGTGTGTTTGTACTTTGCTTTTAAAATGGTCCCCAGAAGTTTGCTAAATATGCACATTTAAATATACATTTATTCATTTAAATAATTATATTTAATTTTTATTAAATTAGAGGGAGCATTTGGCTTTCTGTATCGGAGTTGATTCTCAGATTTGTCAAATAGTCCTCACATGACTTGAATTGTCTTTTCTTTTGATCAGGATCCGGCCGCAGATGGCAAAGGAAAAGATTGAGGGATGCCACATCTGCACGCTAGTTACTCCGGGCGAGCCCCAGGTGCTCTTGGGTAAAGACAAGGCCTTTACGTATGACTTTGTGTTTGACTTGGACGCTCAGCAGCACCAGATCTACAGCGCCTGCGTTCACAAGCTCATTGAAGGCTGCTTCGAGGGATACAACGCAACTGTCTTCGCTTATGGACAGGTAAGGTCTTACACACTTGTGTGATAAATGAGTTGTTTGCGATGCCAAAAATGGTACACGCGTTAAAAGAACACAGTGGCTTTATTCACTGTTTGAACAGAGGAATACTACAGTGATAAGGCCCTGTTTTTCTTTAATGATCTCTTGCTATTCCAATTATCTGAAATTAATAAAGTCCCCCTGTGGGGGAAATCCAGCTTTTAATGTTGTTTATGTATCTATGTGGTGTTTTTAATATACTTTAAGACAAACCATGTGTAAATTCATAAGTCGACAGCATTGCTGAGCATTTTCTCCTTAAAACGGCAGTGAACCAAAGACAGACTCAAAAACACGGTTTGAAATCGCTGGTGTTTCTGACGCCACAAACGACCTTGTAACCAATTAGATCAATGTGTGATAGTCAAACAGTGGATCTCTGAGATGAGTGAGTGGAGGCGGGGCTCGTTTGCATATTCATAGCTAGGGATGGGCAACGATTAATCGCCATTAATCGCATCCAAAATAAAAGTTTGTGTTTACATAATATATGTGTATAATTAATTTGTAAATATAAATACCCACACATGTACAGTGCCCTCCACAATTATTGGCACCCCTGTTTAAGATGTGGTCGAGGACTTTTAAAAATTCTCCCTTTTTTTTAAACAACATAGAATCCAAATGCAAAAAAAGAGAAAAATCCAACCTTTTATTTAAGTACATTACTTTGGTGGTAAAATTTTTTTTTTAAATTTAAAAAAATAAAAACTTCAAATCATGTGTCCCACAATTATTGGCACCCCTGATGTTAATACTTTGTACAACCCCCTTTTGCCAACAAGACAGCACTTAATCTCCTCCTATAACATTTCACAAGATTGGAGAACACAGAGAGAGGGATCTTTGACCATTCTTCTTTGCAAAATCTTTCTAGATCATCCAGTATCCTGGGCCCTCTCTTGTGCACTCTCCTCTTTAGCTCACCCCACAGGTTTTCGATTGGATTGAGGTCTGGGGACTGAGATGGCCATGGGAGGACCTTGAGTTTGTGACTGAACCATTTTTGTGTAGATTTTGCCACACATTTTGGATCATTATCCTGCTGAAAGACCCAATGACGACCCATCTTCAGCTTTCTGGCAGAGGCCATCAGGTTTTTATTTAAAATGTCCTGGTAGTTCAAAGCGTTCATAATGCCATGCACCCTAACAAGGTTCCCAGGGCCTTTGGAAGAGAAACAGGCCCACAGCATCACAGATCCTCCACCATACTTCACGGTGGGCATGAGGTACTTTTCGGCATACACATCTTTTGTTTTACACCAGATCCACTTAGAGTGTTTGTTGCCAAAAAGCTCAATCTTAGTCTCATCCGACCAAAGCACACGATCCCAGATGAAGTCCCAGTGCCGCTTGGCAAACTCCAGACGTTTACGTTTGTCAGTGTTAGTGAGAAAAGGCTTTTTCCTAGCATGCCTCCCAAACATCTTGTTGGCATGTAGAGAGCGTCTGATGGTTGTTTTGGAGATTTTGTGACCCCAAGATGCCACTATTTGATGCAATTCTGTGACAGTGAGCTTAGGACTTTTTTTTACTTTTCTTAGCATCCTCCTCACAGTGCGTTGTGGCAAGATAAACTTGGGACCTCTTTCAGCCTTGTTTGTCACTGTTCCTGTTGTTTTAAACTTCTTAATGATTCCTCTAACTTTAGATATGGGCAATATAAGGTGAGTGGCTATTTTCTTGTAGCCATTGCCTGACTTATAAAGGTCATCACACATCTGCCTTACTTGAATGGTGTGTTCTCTTGTCTTTGCCATGTTGACAAATGGGTAAGAGAATTAGGCCTCTGTGTCATGTCATATTTATACCCCAGGGAAATAGGAAGTCATGAATTACTAATTAAAAGTTCCTAGATATCCTGACCAACATTAGCAACTACAGAAAATATATTTTTTAAAAAAAATCAATTACATTTTTCAGCGGAATTGTTAGGGGTGCCAATAATTGTGGGACACAGGATTTGAAGTTTTTGAAGTTATGTTTTTGAAGTCCTCAACCACATCTTAAACAGGGGTGCCAATAATTGTGGAGGGCACTGTATGTGTATATTTAAGAAAAATGTGTTATTAATATATCAAATATTTATATTTTTATATAATATTAATCATGTATAAATATATATAAAGTATGTACATGCAAATATTTCTTAAATATATACATGCATGTGTGTGTATTTATATATACAAATTAATTATACACACGACACATACATATATTATGTAAACAAACTTTTATTTTGGATGCGATTAATCGTTGCCCATCCCTATTCATAGCAACCACATACCAAAATAGGCGAGTTACATTATATTTTAAGGCATGAAGAATTTTCTTTAAAGGAAAAATCTTTTAAAAATGTAATTTTAGTGATCAAAGATGAGTTTTAAGGGATAAATGATTGACTACAGGGGGACATTATAATTTGATGAATATTAAACATGGTTGTTGCTGCTTATACACTGTGCCTATAATAACATCTCTTATAATAGTTTTCCTAAAAGTTTCATCAGTTTGAAATTTTGGGCTGAAAATGTCTTAAAACTACATTTTTAGGTTCTCAGCCAAAATAGACATTTGGCTGAAAATCATGTCTGAAAATATGAACAGGAAAATTTAACTGATTAACTTTGACATGAAGTAAAAGCGATGTGCATATGAAATTAAATTCTTTTTTTATAGTTATTAAATTACATTTAATCACAATTATCATTTAATTTGATTTAAATGTGATTCATTTAAATAGATTATGTATGTACATCAAGACACAACTACAGTTTTGTCAGTTTATTTAAACAGTGTTTTATAAAATTGTTGAAGCATTTTGTTATTGTAAAGTTATGCCAATTGAAGGAAGTAAGTGTAATCACTTCAGTTTTATAAATGGTAAATATTATGACATTTAATAAATGTTTTTTTTTTTTTTTTTTGAGTACCGTAGTTAAAACTAGTATTTTCGCATTCAGCACAGTGGGTCAAAGAATTTAAGAATTTTAATTTTGCGAATGGCTTCTTGCTGTTATACATTATATAATACAATTTAATAACAGCAAATGAGACTCAAAATTGTTAAATGAAGACCCAATATTGAAATTGACAAAGGTTTAATGCTGAGTGCTTAAAATGTGTTACTTAATCACTAGTTCACTAGTGAATGTGTTGCTCTGTGATGCAGACTGGTTCAGGAAAGACCTACACCATGGGCACTGGCTTTGACGTGAACGTGTCGGAGGAGGAGAAGGGCATCATCCCTCGGGCCGTGCAACAGCTCTTCCAGGGCATCCAGAAACGCAGACTAGAGGCACAGAGCGCTGACGTTCCCCCGCCAGATTTCAAAGTCAGCGCCCAGTTCCTGGAGGTGAGACTACAACCAACACTCTAAAAAATGCTGGGTTTTAACCCAAGATTGGGCTGAAATATGGAAGAACTCAGCCGTTGGGTTAAATTTTTAAATTGTATTTTTAATACAATGTTTGGGTTTGTCCATATTTGACCAAAATTTGGGTTAGAACAAGGGGGTAATCCATCAGACGGAAGTTGAAGCCTCGCGGGAGCCGCCATTGTAGCAGAACTTCACCTGCTGTTAGCATCCCATTCATTTTGGCATCACTTTTACAGCGAATAACTTTACATCTGATGCGTCCACTGACTTCATTTGTCCATTATTTATTTCTAAAGAAACACGACAATGTTAAAAATGCTCCATTACTTTTTATCTTACGTTATTGCCCCGTAGAAGCAGTTTTTGTAAAAATAGGCTAAATATGTACAACTGTCAGACTGTCGTCACGCTCAGTTTGAGCCTGCTCAGACATCAGACAGGAAGTGCAATAATCAGGCTTCAGTCTTCCCCGTTGAAATCAATGGGGTCGCTGTGTCCATTTCTTTTACTGTCTATGGGTTAGAACAGCCCAGCATTTTTTAGAGTGAGATTGACAAAATTAATAAAACTGTGGGTTTATAATTTAGATCTCCTTATGATGGTAATTATTAGGGCTGTAGTCAACCAAAGAAATCCTTAGTTGACCAAAGTCTTGTCCTGCGCAACGATTAGTCGATTTTTCATTGAACATTTTTTAAACAATTCCCATAGAGTATTTATAAAACAACAACGAAAAAATATCAAAAATAAATAAAACTATAATAATAATACAATTCAAATTAAGTGATTTTATTTTTTTACTGCAGCTCTGTCCTAAGTCTATAGTGATTGGGTGATATAAAGTCAGAATTGTGAGATCCAAAGTCAGAATTGCGAGATATAAAGTCAGAATTGCGAGATCTAAAGTCAGAATTGAGTGATATAAAGTCAGAATTACGTGTTATAAAGTCGTAATTGTGTGTTCTTAAGTCAGAATTGCGAGATATAAAGTCAGAATTGCGAGTTATAAAGTCAGAATTGCGTGTTATAAAGTCAGAATTGCGTGTTATAAAGTCGTAATTGTGTTATAAAGTCAGAATTGCGAGATATAAATTCAGAATTGTGTGTTATAAAGTCAGAATTGTGAGATATAAAGTCGCAATTCTGAGAAAAAGTCGCATTTCTGTCTTTCTTTATCTCACAATTCTGACTTTATAACACACAATTGCGAGTTTATATGTCGAAATTCTGACATCTTTTCTCAGAATTATGAGATATAAACTCGCAATTGCGAGTTATCAGGCCAATTCTAAGTGGGGAAAAACCTAACTTTTTTCCCCCCTCAGAATAGTTTAAATCTCCCCTATTTAGCAAAATGCTCCTCTCTAGAGTTATTTTTTCCAGCTGACTAACGAGTTTATGTGGGTTTTCTGAGGTAAATATGACGACACATGACATTGATTACAAGCCGTCAACGTCTTTCCACGGTTGAAATGCAGATTGAGCGAATCAATGTGACATGATACGGATTTCGATAAGTTGTACTCTTACCTTTTAACACACTTTCAGATGCTCATTCATGTTTATTTGGCGCTGTAACTGGTATTATTAAGCCGGAAGAGACATCAGCGCTGCTGCTTCTCTTGAGCTGAGCCACAGCGATCTCACGCCACAGCGCCAAAACGTTATTTATGTTTTTGAATTTCTAAAGAAAATGGACAGAATTTGAAAGTTGAGACTTTGTTTCATATCAATAGTAACAAAGGACAAAGATTATTGCGATTTTTTTTTTTTTTTTTTTTTTTTTTTTTTGTATGCGCGCAGCCGCGATACAACGTTCCATTCATTCAAATGAAGCAGGATGACTAATCGATTCTTGAGATTTAAGAATCTATATCGGTTAGTAAAAATGAGAATCGATTAATATCGAGAAATCCATATTTATTACCCAGCCCTACTAAAATAGTATTTTCTTGTAAATCATACTGCTGTAATCTATTATCTATTGTCATTAATCATTTTGTACAGTGTGTGTTGGAAGATGTCTTGACTCCATTTATCTAGGCTCATCAGGGAGAAACCCTCCTCGCATGTCCATATTTATTTGATGTGGGTCATTAGCGTGACATGAGGCGAGAGTGTAGCACAGACAGCAGTGTAGCTGTAACCCGATTACCCCTTCCTCGTGTAAAGTCTGGCTCAGGTAATGAGTTTAAACCTGTAACAGGGCGTTTTAACGACCCGGGCCGCTTGCTGTCTGGCACAGGCTGATGATGTGTGTTCAGCACAAACGCGGCTCACCGATTCGTCTGGCGGCTGTGAACGGATGCCGTCCCCCGGGGCGGCTTTAATAGGGCATTAAGATGCCCTTATTTCATTAGTCTCGTCCTTTCCAGAACTCCTTTTTGCACTTTGTATGTTGTTTTTCTATGTTAGCAGTTTGATTTATTGTTTTGAACCCTGAATTGATTTTATCAAGTCCCTGTGTGTCACTTCCCCGAGTAAAGGATGCTATTGAAAGCCTCGTTCTCTTCTGTCATTCTGTCTCCAGTCGCAGTCGTGCTGTTGTGTTATGTGAATTACGTTATCATTATTTATCATTTCCTTGTCCATCAGCTTGTGTGGTCTCTGGGCTTCCTGAGGTCAAACATGCAGGGCTCTGGCCTTTTGACCTTTGCCCTCTGAAGGTCACAGTGTGTGTGTTTGTCCCTCAGCTATATAACGAGGAAATCCTGGACCTGTTTGACAGCGCACGAGATCCCGAGGCTCGAAACCGAAAGTCCAACATTAAGATCCATGAGGATGGCAGCGGCATGATCTACACCACAGGAGTGACCTCACGGCTGGTCAGCTCAGAGGAGGAGGTCAGATATGCACAAGATTCGTTTGAAATTGGCATAAATAATTTTTTTTTTAAAGAAATTGACCTTGGTAATTTTTTTTGCCTCTGTGTAAAACGGAGAAAAATAATGTTATCCCAATAATATATAATATTAAAACGACAGCTAGCCTTGCTACAAGCTAGTAGTAAGCAAGCTAGTTGTCCATCTTCCTTAACTCTAGTCAAGCTAGCTACATTTAGAGTAGTAAGCACCATCATTTTTATATAATTCTGTTGAAAACACAGTGATGAACTTAAGCATCATTGCAAAAAGCGATATACTAATATGCCCCCTCCCCCAAAGAATCTTATTTAAACAATTATTATTATTAATAATATGTTTTTAAATGTAATAAAACAACAAATAATATATTATTAAATAGTATTATCATTTGTTATTATTATTTTATTATTAATATTAGTATATATTTAATACATTTAAAAAAGTAAACAACAAAAATATTTAATAAATGATGCCAATAGTAATATGATGTTTATTATTGTAATTATTGTTATTAACAATATAATTATATTGTTAATTATATGTTAATTATTATCCATAGTAGTAGAATGTATTAAATGTTGTCAACATTGAATATAGAAGACAAGTACTACTACTATAATAATAATAATAATATAGCAAATTATATCATATTTCATATTAAATATCATTATTAATAGTAATAATAATAGTTGTAGTGCATATATTAAATGTTGTAGTTAATAATAAATAACAATAACAATATTTGATATACAATATAAAAATGGTAATGCTAAAACTAATAGTAATAAAATGTTAAATATTATTATTATTATTATTCTTATCAATAGTATTTTTTTTTTAATATAGATGACAACAAGAATTTCTAAAATAAGACAAATAATCATATTTAAACATCAATGTTTATTTTTGGATGTAGTGGTTTGTTGCATTATTTTGATAACTGTGGTGACAGCGTCACACTCAATATTTCCCTTTGAATATTAGCTTTCACTCAGAAACATGACGCTAGATCATGCAAATGTGGTTTTCCTTTGTATTTGTTTTAAATGGCTCTTATTGAGATGACCTGAGTGAGATCATATAAAACTTAGGTGACTGGAATAACCGGTGCACGCAGATGTGTGTATGTGTGTGTCCGTGCTGGTCATCTGTGTGTTCTCCTCAGCTCCTGCAGTGTCTGAAGCTGGGCGCTCTGTCCCGCACCACCGCCAGCACACAGATGAACGCCCAGAGCTCCCGCTCTCACGCCATCTTCACCATCCACCTCTGCCAGATGAGAGTGTGTCCTCGGCCACAGCAGGTACTGACACACTGCAACACACACACACACATGAACATCATCACCAGAGCCTGAAGCTTAAACTCCTGTTAGCCGTTAGCAAGTTTAAGCAGGTCGTGAGTTTTACAATGCTGCGGTATAAAGTATTTATATAAAACCACTGGCATTAGGAGCGTCAACACTGAACATGTCTGTGCAAACCGTTCAAGATCGCACATGTAATTAATAGGGCTGGGTAATAAATATCGATTTCTCGATATTAATCGATTGTCATTTTTACAAACCGACATCGATTCTTAAATCTCAAGAATCGATTAGTCATCCTGTTTCGTTTGAATGAATGGATCATTGTATCGCGGCTGCGCGCATCCAACAAATCGCAATAATCTTTGTCCTTTGTTACTATTGATATGAAACAAAGTCTCAATTTTCAAATTACGTCCATTTTCTTTAGAAATTCAAAAACATAAATAACGTTTTGGCGCTGTGGCGTGAGATCGCTCTAGAGAAGCAGCAGCGCTGATCTCTCTTCTGGCTTAATAATACCAGTTACAGCGCCAAATAAACATGAATGAGCATCTGAAAGTGTGTTAAAAGATAGAGTACAACTTATCTAAATCCTTATCATGTCACATTGATTCGCTCAATCAGCGTTTCAACCGTGGAAAGACGTCAGTTAAACAGCTTGTAATCAATGTCATGTATCGTCATATTTACCTCAGAAAACCCACATCAACTCGTTAGTCCACACTCGTTAGTGTTCTTCAATATTTAATGCATATTTGAATAAATCTGGCAAGTTTTTATGACAGCCACCATTTAAATGTTTATATTTCATATAATCTTCTTATTATAAAAATAAATAAAAGTGTAATTTAAGTGTTTGTATAGCTATAAAACAGTTAATTATTACCTTCATATTAGGCTAATGAAGCCTAGTAGGCTACAACTAGACTATATATATAGACCATAGTTTACAGCATTTAAGAGATTTGATTCCCTTGAGAAAATTTGCCATTTATTGTAACTGATATCCAAAATAATCAATATTGAATCGAATCGAATCGTAATCGAAATCGAATCGAATTGCAAGCTTGTGAATCGAAATCGAATCGAATTGTGATATTTGTCTCAATACCCAGCCCTAGTAATTAAAGAAGATGCTAGTGTTAGTAGCTTAAAGCTATCATTGATTCCCTCTCTCTCTTGCAGGTGAACGGAGAGATGAACGGTGTGTCCGACAGCTCTATCTCTCAGCCCGAGTACGAGACGCTCACTGCCAAGTTTCACTTTGTGGACCTGGCGGGATCAGAGCGCCTCAAACGCACAGGAGCCACGGGAGAGCGAGCCAGAGAGGGCATCTCCATCAACTGTGGCCTGGTAACAAAAATCAGATCCTGTCATCCGAGGGTGACCTTGTTGCTAAAAACACTGATTTTCGAGTAGTTAGCTAGCAGAAGCTAGTCCTGTCTGCTGTTTTTCAGTCTTTCAAGGGCGGAATGCACGATTTTTACTTCAGAAGACACTGTTTTACCAGCGCAAACATACTTTTGACGTTAAAAACTACTGTCAGGCAGTGGTGGGCCGTCAGGGCCAGCAAGGCCTTCTCTGCTGGTCTGAAAACACTATCAGAATCACTGACTTGCACTTTAATATATTTTTTCCGTGAATGAGTATTAAATTATTCCAAATAGTTCGTTCTCTTAATTTCATAGTTTTTCTCTTGGTTGCGCTGCTTCCAGTGGTATGTTTTTATGTTAGAGCTTGTATCCAATCATATTTCAGCCATCATGCACTGCTAGGGTCAAATAAATCTGCCTTGAAGGCCTTCAGAATCGACAGTGCGGGCGCCTTTAGCTTAAAATGAATGGCAATGAAACCGTTTCTTTAACCAATCAGATAATCCGTCAGATTTAATCAGCAAATCAGATTTTGCTTTGACTGCAGCGGGGCCATCTAGCTGGCATATAATAACGTCTGTATTTTCTCGTTCTTTGATTGGATGCGCGTACAGACAGCGTACTATTACTATCTGTAGCGAACTGCGTAAACTAAATATATGAAGAGTTCAGATGCAAAAGCCTCTAAGTGCCATTTGAAATTTTCTTCTTTAATGATGATTTTTGTCAAACTTGCATATTTAAGTTCAGTAATTTCACTTAAATAACAATTAATAGGTAATTATCATTGCCATTTAAGTGAAATTACTGAACTTAAATATAAAAGTTTGATAAAAATCATCATTAAAGAAGAAAATTTCAAATGGCATTTAGAGGCTTTTGCATCTGAACTCTTCATATATTCCTGTAGATGTAATTGTTTTTAAACCCACAAATTAATGTTTCTTTGGAAAAAAATCCCTTATTCAGCCTGAGCTAAACGCAGAGTAACGGGACTCTATTCGATCTCTCCGGGTAAAAACAGAACTGACTAATTTAAGTTATGAAATGAATGATTTTGAAGGCAAAAGTCCCGCTGATCTCATTGATTTCGTTCAAAACTCTGTGTGAGAGCATGGGGCAGCTGCACACATCGTCATGTTTTGCGGTAACTGTGTGTGCTTCTGTCGAGCAGGCACTCTCAGCCATAAAGCAAATTAAAACTTATGCTAGAAATATGACGAGACAGACAGGACATTGTTGGAACTGAAACGCAGATAGAACCTGTACGACAGTAATTAAAGTCTTCTTGAGGAAAGAATTAAGGATGGATTTTGTGTTAAAGATACAGTAATCTGTAGTTTTGGTGTGTATAATGCTTTTCCCCCCGTGGTGAACATGATTTTCTTCTTAATTTTTCGAGACTTAATTTTTTTTGAAAACATTCATAGTATTGTGACGTCTGAAAAGGGACTATTGTAACCCTTGAACGACAAGATAAGGGAGGCTCCGTTTCTGAACTTATAATCGGATTCGTAACGCAAGAACCACTGTACAAACGCACCAGCCGAACTCACGCGCTCATTTCTCTCTACCGGCCTTTCCCGAACTAATCCAATAACTGCCGGTGCAAAATATGTACAATTATAGACACTCTTTGCGCTGATACACTATTAAAAGTTATTAATTCAGGTAGGACAGAAGGCCTAGGTGTGAAATGTCCTGCTAAAATGCACACAAAAAGTTATTGTTTTTGACCCATGTGACCTTGTAAACGGTGCTTTAAGATTTAAAGTTTGCCAATGGATGACAGAAAAAAACAGATGCAGCTTTAATTTGTAAAATATTCTTACTGTAAATAATTGCAAAATTAATGTTCATTTTGACAGCCATAAAAATAAATTATAAACACACTATAAACTGTATTTATAGTATATCTATATTAACAAAAATCATGGAATTAAACAATGAATGATTATGAAATTAGCAAACGTGTAGATCTTTCCCTAGCAGTGTTTGTTTAGCTACATGAGAGTGAGTAGATTATGACTGAATCATTTTTAAGTGATTAATCTCTTTAACCTTTGACTAGAAAAATCCTCAAGAAAGTTCTCCGATGAGCTCTAAGCAAACACCTCGACACCGCAAAAACCGGCTTTGTCAGGGATTTCCAAAATACCTGCACTTCATTATCATGATTGTTCAGGTCCTTTTAGCTGAGTCGTGTTTTCCCATGTTAAGTACGGTGTGATATTCGTGTCGCATTAGCTGTGCCGCCTCCTCGATTCATCACTGCTGGCTTTGAGCAGATGAAGGGAACTGAAGGTAATTAGACGGAGAGAGAGTCTGAAGAAGAGCTAAAGCCTGGAGGAAAGCCAAGAGATGCCATTGTACTGACCCGGATAAAGCTCTGTTGTTTTTAGAGCCTAGATACTCATTTGTAAGAGAACCCATTTAAAAGCTTTTAATCTTAGATAGCAGCATATGATGGAGCGTGACCGGGTCTTTCTCTCTGTGTGTGTTTGGCAGCTGGCCCTGGGTAATGTGATCAGTGCATTGGGAGATCAGAGTAAGAAGTCAGGTCATGTGCCTTACAGAGACTCCAAACTCACACGCCTGCTGCAGGACTCGCTGGGAGGAAACAGGTAACGTCTGATACACATCTACACACACTTCAACTCCATAAAGCCCAAAGTATACTTCATTTTACGTGCACACTGTATAACATACACAGGTGGTCAATGCTTGCGCATTACAGTAACTTCCAGTCCCTGTGCATCTTTATCATCGTTTAGGTTAAGGTTAAAGGAGTAGCTCACTTTAAAAAAAAACTTTTGCTGATAATTTACTCGCCCACATGTCATCCAAGATGTCCATGTCTTTCTTTCTTCAGTCGAAAAGAAATTAAGGTTTTTGATGAAAACATTCCAGGATTTTCTCCATATAATGGACTTCAATGGGGTCCAAACGGTTCAAGGTCCAAATGAGAGTTTCAGTGCAGCTTCAAAGGGCTTTAAACGATTACAGACGTCTTATCAAGCGAAACGATCGCTCATTTAATAAATAAATAACAAAGTTTAAGTTTTATAAGCTCAAATGTTTGCCTTGCTCTGTTCTGTGAAGAGCGTTCGTGACTCTCCTGTTCGAACTCGTTCATCAAAATGAACGAATCTTTTTTCGAGTCATTTGGTTCATTCAACGAACGAACTGAACAAAATGACTTGAAAAAGATTCTAAAGAAAGACGTGGACATCTTGGATGACATGTAAATGATCAGCAAAAGTTTTTAATAGTGAACTACTCCTTTAAGTTCAAGCCAGTTTGATTGCGCTCTCTGTTTCTGAATATCAGAATAGGCTCTAGAACAAAGATCTGTGGAGACACGTACACGCTGTACTAGGTAACCATTGCTCTTAAATTTAGCTAATTATAATATCTGTAGATTAACCCTACCCATAATTCTTGACATTTTTTAGATACAAAGACATAATTAAGTCTTTTTATGAAGTTATTCAGGTATTCAGCTTTGTTAGTTTTGTTGTCATGTCATTATCATGCCTATGATAATTATGATTATTACCACACCTTCTCACATGACAGTTTTTGTTGTATGTGAAATAAGACATTGTTCAGTCTCTTAATGTTTAAGTCCCCACTAACATGGCAACAGACTGTTTTTATTATGTTAGGTTTATCCCGTTTATGAACATGAAATAATTCATTATTTTTGGGAAAATGACTTAATACAGAATTTATCTTGTTAGATTGCATGATTAATTTCATTCATTGGAAAATATTTTATATATTTTAGATATTTAGTTTAGTGATATGTATGTATGTATCAAAAGACATTTAGTATAGATTAAAATTAGGGCTGTCAAACAATTCATCGAGATTAATCACATCCAAAATGAAAGTTTGTGTTACATAATATATGTGGGTGCACTGTGTATAATTATTTTATATATATTTAAAATAATACACACGCATAAATACACACACATGCTTGTATATATTTAAGAAATATTTTCATGTATATACTGTATATAGATTTATATTTAATTTATATTATATATAAATATTGTATATATATTTTTTTAAATATACATGCATGTGTGTGTATTTATATATTTATATATATATATTTAAATATAAATAAATAAATATATATATATATATATATATATATATATATAATTATACACAGTGCACCCACATATATTATGTAAACACAAACTTTTATTTTGGATGCGATTAATCTCGATTAATCATTTGACAGCCCTAATTAAAATGTGCAATTAATCACAAGTTAGCTATGACATTAATGCGATTAATCACGATTAAATATTTTAATCGTTTGACGGCACAAATATATATATATTATGTGTGTGTATGTGTGTATATATACATACACAATATATATAAATATTAATACATTCAAATGTGTATATAACATCATTTGTCAGCCCCAATTACTCCAGAATTTACATATAATTTCATATATTTTCATCATATTTCATATTATATTTCATATATTTGTTTTATATAAACAATTGCTATGTATTTTCAAATAATGAATCAGTAAATTAACATTGACAACCGTAATTACTACAGAATTTACATGACTGATCATTTGTAAATTATTTTATTTTATAATTAAAAAAAAATATTGTGAAATGTATATTTAAGTAATGTAACATTAAAATAACAGCCCTAATTATTTCCTTTCACTATATTAGACTTTATCTTGAAAGCTTCAAGTTGTAGAAACAGTTGGTGTTGCGCTCATGTTTACGAGCTTCAGATGGTTCGTGCACTTGTAAACATCGCTGTGGACAGGGCAGTCATTGTGTCTTGAAGGTTAATGTGTGTGTGTGTGTGTGTGAAGCGCAGTGTTGGGTCACTCAGCCCACACTGGACGCCACTGGCTGCCCATATATTCTTACGATATGGGTTCAGAGGGGGAGTTGATTGAATTAAACATGAGAGACTGCAGACAGTGGCACTCAGTCCCAGCCGCATCCATGAGAGCGTTTGTGTTTATCTGTCATCTGTCTTGTGTGTGTGTGTGTTTAAGATCTCATAGACCCTTATGAATTCCTGTCTTCTTGCTTTCTCCTCTGCTGTGTATCTATCTATTTAGTCAGACTGTGATGATTGCCTGCGTGAGCCCGTCTGACCGGGACTTCATGGAGACGCTAAACACACTGAAGTACGCCAACCGGGCTCGCAACATCAAGAACAAAGTGATCGTGAACCAGGATAAAACCAGTCAGCAGATCAGCGCCTTACGAGCAGAGATCGCACGCCTTCAGATGGAGCTGGTGGAGTACAAAGCGGTGAGGAGGATTCTGGGAAGAGTTTGTCACACACACACAAACACAAGCCCTCAAATGGATAATTCACCCCATAATGAAAATTCTGTCATTTACTCGCCCCCGTATAATAAAATGCTCTTCTGTGGGAAAAAAATATGTTTTGTTGCATGTTCTGTTCATTTCAAAACAACGAGAGTGAATTGGCTCTGGTTAAAATGATTAAAGAAGTAGTCCAAACTACGTGTGCACTATATCACAAATGTCCTGAAGCCATTTGAATGAGGAACAGACAGAAAAAAAAAACATAATTAGTTAAAAATCTGGCCTCATCTAGTCTAAAAATGAAAAATGTTTTTAGAGTTTCTACTCGCACACCTCTTGAGGGTTAGGTTTAGGGTCCTTAAAGGAGTAGTTCACTTTTCAAAAAAACTTTTGCTGATAATTTACTCACCCCCATGTCATCCAAGATTTCTTCAATCGAAAAGAAATGAAGGTTTTTGATGAAAACATTCCAGGATTTTCTCCATTTAATGGACTTCAATGGGGTCCAAACGGTTCAAGGTCCAAATGAGAGTTTCAGTGCAGCTTCAAAAGGCTTGAAATGACACCAGACGATGAATGAGGGTCTTATCAAGCGATGTGATCGGTCATTTCAAAAATAAATAAAAAAGCTAAAGTTTTATAAGCTCAAATGCTTACCTCGCTCTGTTCTGTGATGCGCGTTCGTGACTCTCTTGTTCGAACTCGTTCATCAAAACGAACAAATCTTTTTTCGATTCATGACTCGAAGGGTCCTAGATAAGACCGTTATTCATCGTCTGGAATCGTTTAAAGCCCTTTGAACAGTTTGCACTGAAACTCTCATTTGGACCTTGAACCATTTGGTTCCCATTGAAGTCCATTATATGGAGAAAATCCTGGAATGTTTTCATCAAAAACCTTAATTTCTTTTCGACTGAAGAAAGAAAGACGTGGACATCTTGGGTGACATGGGGGTGAGTAAATTATCAGCAAATGTTTTTTTTAAAAGTGAACAACCAATAGTGGCGATTTACCCAAAACAAAATAAGTAAATGTCTGAATTTGAAGGTAAAATATCATCTTCAATTGGTTGTGAATTTTGGTTGCGAATCACTTTCATACATTTTAATAAGACCTACTCACACAAAGGTTTGGTTTAGAGGTGGAGATTCATGGTGAGGGTTTACCAACAAATCGATTTTACTTGAAGATGTTTGTAGGTAATTCGCCACCATGTATCTTTGAATTAACGGTTTACCAACAAAACATCCCAACACACTCTCAAAAATTCTCATTCTCGCTTCTGAGAGGATATCATATGGGGTGAGAATGACGACAGATTTGTCAAATCTGAAAGACAGAAGTGCCAACTCGCTTGAGTTATAAGGACAGCAGACTTATATAACACATGCCAGGATGTTGTAGGCAACAGGAACCAGTGTCAGAATTTACTTAAAATGTCAAGATATCTTATTACTTGTTTATTTTACTAGAGAGGAAACATTTCGAGCTGACATTAAACCCTCATCAAGCAGCTGAACCATTACTTCCTCTGATGATAAATCAAATGGAGAACTTAAGGCCCGTACACACCGGGACGAATATCAGCGCGCGTTATTCGTCAGCGTTTTTCAACGCGTTTTTTGTGTTCACACCCAAGCGTTTTTCGCTGACGATGAGCCGAGTGAACATGCAAATTCATTCCCTGACATTAGATGGCGCTTAATGTAAAACAGAAATAATAATAGAATATACTATAGGGTGATCATATTCATGTCTCAATGTTTTATTATGACAGATTAAAAAAAACGAATGAAATAATGATAGAAATAATGTCTTCTGTATTAGAAAAATAAATATATAAATAATAAATAACTAAAAAATGCCTCCAAATGTAACAAAAAATAGCTCTCACAAACTTACAAAAACGAACTAACAAAATCTATTTATGTCTTTAGTTTTCATTCTCTTTATCTTGTTTTTCTTCCTCGTCCACCTTGTTTGCCCATCTATATTTTTAAACCAGGACATTTTCATCACTTAAAAACAGTCAGGACAGGAAGTGGAAACAGGACATATATAACGCAAAGTTGAGATGTTGCCCAGAGATGAACAGATGCACAAGAGACGAGAGTTGTCGTATTTCCCCGCGTTTAATAAAACCATTCAAACGTTACACTCGTCCTCATACATGGGGATCGAGCGAGAAAAAAAAAAAAACACAAACAAACATCTGGTCACAATAGAAAAATAAAAGAAAGAATACAAAGAGTCGGCAGAGCGGTTCTCCTCTCCTCACTTGTCAAAATCTAACTGACACTATACGCACACTATGCGCAGTTCTCATCTCAACTCAGATTTCTATAAAGCACAAAGTGACCATTTTACATATGTCCCGGGAAAACAGGACTGTTGGTCACCCTATACTATACTAATATTACAGAAATACTAATATAAATATTATCATATAGCTCATTATGCTCCGAGACCAGCAGCTCAACATTCATCTTGCACGTAGGTATCTTATCTCTTCTTCGCCGTGTGCGCTCGGCAAGACCGTTTTGTGTTTGAGCGCCCCCAAGTTGTGTTTTACTGTAACTTCAGAAGTACCTGACACGTGAGCAAACCGGCCAATCTCGTTGGTCGGATAGGTTTTGACGCGGCGCGTCAAACCAAAAAAACGAACCCGAGGCGTTTTTTAAAAAATGACGCTTTTACGCGTGGCGTTTTTCGCGTCGGTGTGAACACTCACATTGGCGCCCATTGTTTAGTCACGAGGCGTTAAACGTCGACGAATAACGCGCGCGAAATTCGTCCCGGTGTGAACAGGCCTTTACAGTAGAGTCGGTCGGCTGATGCTCTTGTTGTTACTTCTCTTTCTCTCACTGCTACCCAGTCGGAGCTGGAGCTGTTTATGTAATAATGGTTCAGCTCATGGGATCTCGCTGGAGTTAGCAGTAGCTTAGCGCCTCGGACGGCCGCTGGAAGAAGTTAGCGATTAGCAGTGATGGCGTTGAGAGCGAGTATGAAAGGATTGGGGGGTCTGATGCCTAGCTTTCTGTTGCTCAGTCTTTCGATCTCTGTGTTTGCTTCAGGGAAAGCGAGTGGCCTGTGACGACGGATCCGAGGGCTTTAGCGATCTGTTTCAGGAGAACTCCATGCTCCAGAAGGAGAACGACACTCTACGTATGCGGGTCAAAGCCATGCAGGAAACCATCGACCACCTCAACACTCGAGTCACTCAGCTGCTCACCAACGGGGTCAACCTGCTGCTCACCAAGACTGGTGAGAGACCCCTAGTGGCTGGACAGGGCACCACCATTGACATGTCTGTCGTTAGTGTAGTTATTTACTATCAGTGGTGGAATGTAACGAAGTACAAATACTTCGTTACTTTACTTAAGTATATTTTTCACGTATCTTTACTTTACTTGAGTAGAATAAATAGTGTATACTTTTTACTTTTACTTCGTTACATTTTGCAGCAATTATTCTACTTTCTACTCCACTACATTTCTACAATTTCTGTTATATTTTCATTACATTTTCTGATCAGTTTTTCCCCTGCCAAAACGTAATCTGACCGTCCGTTCGTTGCACGTTTGTCTCACCAGTGACGTTTGGTTGCCATAGATACATCAACTAAATGCGTCTCGCACGCAGTGTGTTCATCGTGCAATTTATACGCGAAAATGTGTTTTTACGTGCATAGGAAACACACCCTGTGTAATATACGTTTGGTTAGGATTATGGCAAGCCAAGAGGTTCAGAATTACACCATTAATTAATTGTGTTTACTGCCAAACATAGTTATTAACATAAGGATAAGCATGGTTTATTGCCTAATTGCAAGCTTGTTTCAGCTTTTCCCATCGTTATTGAACATCATTATAGGAGTATTAGGTTGAATGAGTTAGAATTAAATGTTTTATTAATCATTAGAAAATAGTTATTAAGATAATCAATTGTTATGCAAGTACTTTTACTTTTAATACTTAAAGTACATTTAAAATCAGGTACTTTTTACTTTTTACTTAAGTATAGTTGTCATTGTGTTACTTCTACTTTTACTAAAGTAAATATTTATCTGGTTATTTGTACTTTTACTTAAGTACTGAGATTCAGTACTTCCTCCACCACTGTTTACTATGCAGAGTTACCCCTACCATTGCCCCCTAAAATGCTGACATAAAAAAGGAATTGACTTCATAACGCAGAATTTGTCAAATAAAAGTTTGTAAAAGTTTTAATAAATAGGAAAGTTCAGTACACTTTAAATCAAATCGTGACGTAGACTAGTGTGTGTGAATATTAAGACTATTTAACTACGAATCCTGCATGTTCTGTGTGAATGAATGGTGTAGCACAGTTTTATTTATCACACACACACACTGAAGACACTGAAGCACATGTGACGCTTGTGCTGTTTTTTGCCTATATGAAGACACAAACTTCATCTCCAGGCTCTAGATCCACTACAAAACTCACTTTATGAGCGTTTAACCACTTTACTTGAGAAAAAACTATCATCATGACAAACACACAGAAACTCAAAAGGTCTTCACGGCAACCTGTCAAAATAAAAGTTCGGTTTAACTTGACAGAAATATATTACTGTTGTACAGTAGAATTGAGATATTTCCTAATGTAGTAAAACACTAACACTAATACAAATAAATGATGATTTTTTTAAACAAAACTGAATTTTTTTTTAAGGAATAATCCATGTTTTAATTTTAACAGTAAAGCTCATTGTGCAGCACGTTATTTGACAAAGTTTATTTAATTTCATATGATTAAAATGATGATAAATGATCAAATTTGTGTTTTATGTCTTCATTTTATTACCAGAAAAAACACAACACAGAATAATTTTTTTCGTATATATATTTTTTAAATGTCGTATAAGTTTAATGATTCGTAATACATGATTTCAATTAATTAGACATGCTTTTTGATTGCTAAATAATTACATGACCACTGGGAGGAGCCCAGTAAAGCTTGATTTTATTTTTTCACAGACTATCTGTCTCATAGTCTACTGCCATGACATAATGACAGTTTTTACAAATATGTAAAAAAAAAAAAAAAAAATTGTTTACAAAAGTTACCTACTCCAGCTTTAATATTACCCAGTACTTAGTTGAGCAAGTACATGTAACTACGTCACCTTGAAATAATTTTACATTTAAGTAACTCATAGTTTTTGCCATGAAAACAGCCAAAGAAGTAAAAAAACAAACAGACATCATTATTTCTTCTTTGCTAAGTAAATCTATCACTCTGTTCAGGTGAAACGAATGAGGAGATCGGCAATCTAATCCAGAATTACATTCGAGAAATTGAAGAGCTGAGGTAACAATAGAAGTGAGACTTTAGTATTTGGATGTTTTATTGTAGCAATAAAACACACACACACTCTCTCTCTCTCTCTCTCTCTCTCTCTCTCTCTCTCTCTCTCTCTCTCTCTCTCTCTCTCTCTCTCTCTCTCTCTCTCTCTCTCTCTCTCTCTCTCTCTCTCTCTCTCTCTCTCTCTCTCTCTCTCTCTCTCTCTCTCTCTCTCTCTCTCTCTCTCTCTCTCTCTCTCTCTCTCTCTCTCTCTCAGATCTAAGCTGCTGGAGAGTGAGGCCATGAACGAGTCTCTGAGGCGCAGTTTGTCTCGCCTCTCCGCACGCTCCTCGTACCCCGCCTCTCCAGCGCACCCTCTAGGCTCCTCCCCCTCGGTTTCCATGGATGCAGAGATGACAGACGTGATTCGTCAGGCCAAATTAGATGTGGAGAGGCTAAAGAAGAAGGAGAGAAATCAGAGGAGGAAGAGGTGAGGTCTGAGGAGCAACCAAGTGTCTGTATGTGTGTGTGTTTATTTAATTATGTATATTAGCGGTCGACCAAAAGTGGATTTTACCGAAAGCTATAACTAAGTTGGCCCACACTGGTCGAATCAACCGATAGTTTTTAAAATGAATCCTGAATGAAAACAAGCATAACACATAAAATAGTGCTGAAATTTATTTAAAAAAAAAGAGAAAAATGAAAATGGTTTCATTATTTTATTGTATTATTTCTTGTTTTTTGTTTTGTTTTTTGCATTATTGCCTTGATTGTGTATTTGGAAGACTTTAATATGCTTGACCTCTTCCTGTTTTATGTTACTGAGCCAATAAGAGGCTGTAAAATGTGGCAGAATTAGATTTATCTGTGTGTTTGAGTGTGTGCCAGTATGTCCTGACCGAGGACAGCAAGCTGGCATCGATACAAGTGTCTCTCAGTTATAATGAATACGACTACAGGACCGTCCCGCTCTTCAGATGAGCTGTAATGTGGCCGTAACGGGAGAGAGGTCATGGGTAATTTGTGGACCCAGCTTTACAGAATTACTTCTAGAAGTCTCTGAGATAAATCTCTCCTGATAAATGTGTCCCTGTGGTGCCATTACAGGACGTTTGCATCAGACTCTTGATCTCTTATTTTTTGTTGAATGCTGTATTGATTTGATCTGTCAGTTTGTCTATTGAAGCTTTAATTATAGTTTTTTTACTAGTCCTGAGAAAGAAAAGGGTTTGAAGAAGAGAGCCAAACTTCATCCTCAAGAAAACGGAGAAAAGAGTGAGAATGGGCTGAGCCGAGAAAATGAAGAGAGACGAGAGAATGGAGATGGAGACTCCGATAATGAACCCGAAGAGGTGAGAGGAAGGAGAATCATTCATCGTCTGCTGGTTATTAAGAAAGTGTAATATTGTGAGGATGTGTTTTATGAGAATGAATGTGTAATGTTATGAGAGAGGCGTAATCTTTGACAGAAGTGTTTTATCAGAATAAAGACAAAATTGAAGGAAATTGTAATGGTACCGCAGACAAATTTCAAGAGTAAAATTGATATTTCAGGGAAAATAAATTCATACAGCAGTATTTAATGAGAATTCAAATTAATTATGTAATTTTGCAAGAATAAAGTCTTAATATTTTGAGAATAATGATCATTTTAAAGAGTTTTCACTTGTATTCTAATTTTCTTAGAAACAGTAGTCTTGGAATAAAGTTGTAAAATGAGAAGAAAAAATACAATATTGCAGTAAATATTGTTTTTATGAAAATAAAGTTGTGATATTAAAAATATTTAAAAAATATTTTGAGAAATTTTTTTTTAGTAATAAAGTTGTAAAATGTAAAAAATAAATAAATATTGCAGGGAAAGCCTAAGAATAAAACAGTAATATTGTTGAATAATATAAAGTTGAAATAATTCAAGAAAAGGTTGTTATATTTTCTGAGAATAAATTATATTGCAGGAATAAAATCATAACAGTTTGAGGGAATATATATATATATATATATTAGGGCTGTCAAATGATTAAAGATTAATCGCATCCAAAATAAAAGTTTGTGTTTACATAATATATGTGGGTGCACTGTGTATAATTATTTTGTATATATGTAAATACACACACATGCATGTATATTTAAGAAAAAAAATTATTTATATATAAAATATTTATATTTATATATAATATAAATTATATATAAATCTATATGCAGTATATCCATGAAAACATTTGTTAAATAATTACAAGCATGTGTGTGTATTTATATATGTAAAATAATTATACACAGTGCACCCACATATATTATGTAACACAAACTTTTATTTTGGATGCGATTAATCGTTTGACAGCGCTAATATATATATATATATATATATATATATATATTTATGGGTCCACTGTGTATAATTATTTTATATATATAAATAGACACACATGCATGTACATATTTAAGAAATATTTTCATTTATATACTGTATATAGATTTATATATAATTTATATTAGATATAAATAATATTTTTTTCCCTGAATATACATGCATGTGTGTGTATTTATATTTATATATATATATATATATATATAAACACAAAATAATTATACACAGTGCACCCACACACACACATATATATATATATATATATATATATATATATATATATATCTCAGTATTTGTTTTGGGAATAAAGGCATAATATTATAAATTCGTACTGCATTGTTTGATCAATCATAATATTCCAATAATCAAGTTATAATATTTTGTCTTAATATAAAAAAATAAAGGTTATAAAGCAGTGTTTTGTAAGAATAAAATCATAAAATTACAAGAATAAAGTCAAAATATAACAAAACACTTCTGTGTGACTTTTTCTCATTAAATATGTAGTCTTAATATTACAAGACTCCAGCTGTAACAGTGAGAGATGGAGATGCAGTTATTACTGTATATGAAAGAAAAGTTGTGTGTGTGTGTGTGTGTGTGTGTGTGTGTATAAATTCCAAACAGTGCCCTGCTTTATTCCCGCTGTGTGCAGGATGGCATGTATACGCTTGTGGAGGACGATCACGAGGAGAGCGGCTGTGACGAAGATGAGGAGGAAGAGGAGACCAGGGAGGAGGAAGAGTTTGACAGCGACGAAAGCCTGGTGGACTCCGACTCGGACTCGGAGGAGAAAGGTGCATTCTGGGATGCATTTGTTTGACGTCCTCTGAGCCCCTTTGATTCCCACTAACCCTCTCCCCTGCGGCTCCTCCTCTCTCAGTGAACCTGCAGGCCGACCTCGCCGACCTGACGTGTGAGATCGAGATCAAGCAGAGGCTCATCGACGAGCTGGAGAACAGCCAGCGGCGGCTCCTCACGCTGAAGAGTCAGTACGAGGAGAAGCTGATTCTGCTGCAGAACAAGATCCGAGACACACAGCTGGAGAGAGACCGCGTGCTGCACAACCTCAGTGAGTAAAGTCACTATTCAATGAAAAAATTCTGAAATTACAATAAACTTGGTATTTCCGGACAAACGGCAATATTTAAAGTCCCTGTTATGGTATTTTAAAAGTCAGATTTGACCCAGTCTGTTGTGATTGGTCTACTCTGCTCTGATTGGTCAGATGACCCAGTCTGTTGTGATTGGTCTACTCTGCTCTGATTGGTCAGATGACCCAATCTGTTGTGATTGGTCTACTCTACTCTGATTGGTCAGATGACCCAGTCTGTTGTGATTGGTCTACTCTGCTCTGATTGGTCAGATGGCCCAGTCTGTTGTGATTGATCTAGTCTGCTCTGATTGGTCAGATGACCCAGTCTGTTGTGATTGGTCTACTCTGCTCTCATTGGTCAGATGACCCAGTCTGCTCTGATTGGTTTACTCTACTCTGATTGGTCAGATGACCCAATCTGTTGTGATTGGTCAACTCTGCTCTGATTGGTCAGATGACCCAGTCTGTTTTGATTGGTCTGCTCTGCTCTGATTGGTCAGATGACCCAGTCTGTTGTGATTGATCTAGTCTGCTCTGATTGGTCAGATGACCCAGTCTGTTGTGATTGGTCTACTCTGCTCTCATTGGTCAGATGACCCAGTCTGCTCTGATTGGTTTACTCTACTCTGATTGGTCAGATGACCCAATCTGTTGTGATTGGTCTAGTCTGCTCTGATTGGTCAGATGACCCAGTCTGTTGTGATTGGTCTACTCTGCTCTCATTGGTCAGATGACCCAGTCTGCTCTGATTGGTTTACTCTGCTCTGATTGGTCAGATGACCCAGTCTGTTTTGATTGGTCTACTCTGCTCTGATTGGTCAGATGACCCAGTCTGTTGTGATTGGTCTACTCTGCTCTGATTGGTCAGATGACCCATTCTGTTGTGATTGGTCTACTCTGCTCTGATTGGTCAGATGACCCAATCTGTTGTGATTGGTCTACTCTGCTCTGATTGGTCAGATGACCCAATCTGTTGTGATTGGTCTACTCTGCTCTGATTGGTCAGATGACCCAGTCTGTTGTGATTGGTCTACTCTGCTCTGATTGGTCAGATGGCCCAGACTATCAGAAACCAAATGCCATTATCTGAATTTCTGCTCTGGATCTTCCTCAGCTCTTGATACTCAGTGATACAGTGACGATAGTGTCGGTTTTACCATTTCAATCTCATCAAAGTGGATTTGCTTTGTCAGCAGAAAACAGCGTCTTCTCCACATGATCAACACGAGCCAAACTCTTCCAGTCTCAGATACAGTTCACGGCAGCCGATGAGGAACATCGGCTTTATGGAAATCTGTTTTAATTAATACAAACCTACGCAGGAAGTGAGACTGGAACAATGACTCGTTTCAGGAAGTTTAGTGCCGCATTTCAGTAAAGTAGCAATTACATTACAAAGTCATACGGAAATTACAGCAGTTTACGCTTCACAAGGATTAACAGTGACATTTTATAATTGATTCGTTTCTGAAATGAGATGCAGACAAATGCAACCTCAATATAATTTTCATAGGACACTGCTGTAAAATGTTCAGTTGTAATATTTGTGTTATACAAATAGGTGTTTTAAGGCACTTTAATAATAATCCCAGTAAACATTTCTTCCACCATTTTGATTGTGATTTTAGTGTCCATGGAGAACTACACTGAAGAGAAAGCCTCTAAGATCAAATCTGACTACGAGAAGCGTCTGAAGGAGATGAACCGAGATCTGCTGAAACTGCAGGCCGCTCACAAAGAACACGCTCGTCTGCTGAAGAACCAGAGCCGCTACGAGAGAGAGCTCAAGAAACTGCAGGCTGAAGTGACCGAGATGAAGAAAGCAAAGGTGAGAGCTTTATTTTTAGGAGCACACCGCCCCCTAGAGGCCATCGGGAGATTAACAATGACTTCATCAGCCCAGCCGCCGTACAGATAACTGACTGTAATTGAAGCTCTTTATTTTAAGACTGTAATTAAAAAAGCACCACTTTTCCCACGAGTGAAGAATTTTTTGATGAAAGTCGATCCCTTAAACATAGACCGTGTCCCAGTTTGCATACTAATGCTGTGCACTAAAAGTATTGGAAAGGTGGCTACACCTAAATACACTACCGCTCAAAAGTTTGGGGTCACTAGGAATTTTATTTCTGAAAGTGATAAGCATTTATATAGATGCGTTAAATGAATGACAGTAAAGACATTTATAATGGTACAGAATATTTTTATTTTAAATTAGGGCTGTGCAAAAATTAATTGCGATTAATCGCATCCAAAATAAAAGTCTGTGTTTACATAATATATTTGTGTGTGCTGTATATAATTATTTTGTATATATAAATACACACACACATGCATGTATATATTTAAGAAAATGTGTTATTCATATATAAAATATTTATATAATATAGATTATGTATTCATATATATATATATATACATAATTTAAGCGCAAATAATTCTTAAATATATACATGCATGCTTAGGTACTTATATATATACAAAATAATTATATACAGCACACACAAATATATTATATAAACACAGACTTTTATTTTGGATGCGATTAATCGCAATTAATTTTTGCACAGCCCTGTTTTAAATACATGTTGTTCTTTTGAACCTTCTATAAATCAGAATTCAGTTTTTTTTAATCATGGTTTGCACAAAAATAATAAGCCGTAAAAACTATTTTCAACATTGATAATAATAAGGAGTGTTTATTGTGCAGCAGATCATCATATTTGCTATCATATATCATAGAATGATTTCTGAAGGATTATGTGACTGAAGACTGGAGTAATGATGCTGAAAATTAACAGGAATAAGTTACATTTTAAAAATGGTTATTTAATTATAATATTTCACATTATTATTTTTACTGTGTTTTTAATCAAGTAATGCAGCCTTGGTGAGCAGAACAGACTTCTTTTAAAGAATCAAACTTTTGAAGGATTTGCATTTTTCTTTACTTTTTAAAAAATGTGCATTATAGAAAAAAGGAAAACCGTATGAACCAGAAATAAGTGCAGCCAAAATTTGAGCACTTCTGTTTTCACATATATATGACAGTTCTGTCAAAAGTAAATTATTGCTGATTATTTACTCACCCCCATGTCATCCAAGATGTCCATGTCTTTCTTTCTTCAGTCGAAAAGAAATTAAGGTTTTTGATGAAAACGTTCCAGGATATTCTCCATATAATGGACTTCAATGGGGACCAAATGGTTCAAGGTCCAAAAGACAGTTTCAGTGCAAAATGCAAACTATTCTGATTCCAGACGATGAATAAGGGTCTTATCAAGCTCATTTAAAAATAAATAAAAAAGTTTAAGTTTTATAAGCTCAAATGCTCACCTTGCTCTGTTCTGTGATGCGCGTTCGTGACTCTCCTGTTCGAATTCGTTCATCAAAATGATCTTTTTTCGAGTCATGTCTCGAAGGGTCCTAGATAAGACCCTTATTCATCATCTGGTGTCGTTTAAAGCCCTTTGAAGCTGCAATGAAACTCTCATTTGGACCTTGAACCGTTTGGTTCCCATTGAAGTCCATTATATGGAGAAAATCCTGGAATGTTTTCATCAAAAACCTTAATTTCTTTTCGACTGAAGAAAGAAAGACATGGACATCTTGGATGACATGGGGGTGAGTAAATTATCAGCAAAAGTTTTTTTTAAAAGTGAATTTCTACATTGTTGATTTAAAAGTCCAAAATAACTTCATATTGTTCATATGCAACAATATTGTATAATGCGAATGTAATAAGATTTGAAACCGCAAACTACTTTGTGTTTTTAACTATGAGACTGCTGTAGCGTTTCTCACAGTGCTTGTTTGTCATCCACCTATAGGTGGCGCTAATGAAGCAGATGAAGGAGGAACAGCAAAGGAGGAGGGCGATCGATGCCAAGAGGAACCGAGAAATCGCACAACTGAAGAAAGAGCAGCGACGACAAGAGGTTGGAATGGCTGACGATTGAACATGTGTTCTAGCAGTTGTTGATCATGGTGATTAAAGCGTCTCTGCTCTGCGTGCTCCCTCAGTATCAGATCCGCTCTTTAGAGTCGCAGAAGCGTCAGCAGGAGATGGTGTTGCGGAGGAAGACTCAGGAGGTGACGGCTCTGAGACGGCTGGCTAAGCCCATGTCTGAGCGTGCGGCCGGTCGACTGTCCCGCAGAATCACCAGTGTGGACTCGGGAGCAGAGCTGAACACCAGCACCACGCCAACATCCTCCGAACCCGATTCCACACGCTCCGTTTCCAGCATCATACGCCACTGGAACACCAAAATGAATGGATATCTGGGAGAGAGCGAGAGAAATGGGACTGGAGGAACCCTGGCCAGGTCAGTGAGTCACACAGTCAGTGAGCTTTATTTGATTAAAGGGATTCTTCTAGCCTGGCTAACGCCACACCACGTATCATTGAGAATGAGACGTGGTCTGGAAACCACATGTTCATTTTCTCGTATTTGAGACGTGGTTTACGAATGCCCAGAGCCGTATTATTGGGTGCTACGAATGTCTATCAAATGCGCCTGTACGTAGCTCATAGCCAATCGGGTCAATGAGACCAGATGACGGATGTAGAGCGACAGAAAATTACACGACGAAGACGGGTCAGAGATTTAGTTTCTCAATGTCAAGGACGGGTCCATTCAGAGGGTAGACGAGGCTCCTCTTTAGCATTCGGAGAACACGTAAATGAAACAGGCTAGCAAGCGCACGTCATTGCGTCATTACATCAGTGAAAGGTCCGCTTTCGGCGCTGCAGAAATGTCCTACTGGTTTGGTTGCTGTACCGCACTGTTTAAGCACACTTGTCCTTATTTTGTCTTGTCAGCCCTCATAGAAATAAATAAATAAAAGTAAGGGATAACGGTTGTTATAGCGAATACAACCCCGCGAACTCTAACGCGAAGCGGAGGGGTCTTGAATCAGCCTGAAGGGGTTGTATTCGCCGTAACAACCGCCTCGCTATACATTTCCCCACTTATAACATGGCTACCTACCAAATAAATCAATAATTTGACACAATTTGTTTATTAATTAAAAAAAGACAAGATATATCACACCAATATTATCAAACTCTGTAAGCAATAAATCAACTCTGATTTCATTTTTGCAATACAATCAAAAACCGGAGACGCAAGACGGCAAGTTGTATGAAACAAGAGCGCGCGTCCGTTGTGATATGGATGTGCGCTGTGTAATAATGCGTTGCTATTGACGACGGGCATTATAAAGAAGCAAATGCCATAGAATAGAATCTTGCTTAAAAACATTACCAGAGTAATATAATATGGTATTACATGATTATTGTCAATGTTGAATACAGTCGTTCTGCTTCGAATAAGCAACATTTAATTGAAATCGAAATCTTTTGTTACAATATAAATGTCTTTTTGCTGTCAAATTTGATGCTTAATATATTTATGGTAACACTTTACAATAAGGTTCATTAGTTAACATTAGTAAATGCATTAACTAACGATGAGCAATGCATTAGTTACAGTGTTTATTAATCTTTGTTAATGTTAGTTAATACAAATACCGCTGTTCATTGTGCGTTCATGTTAGTTCACAGTCTATTAACTAATGTTAACTAATACAACCATTGATTTTAATAACGTATTAGTAAATGTTGGAATTAATATTAACTAAGATTAATAAATGCTGAAGAAGTATTGTTCACATATTGTACATGTTAACTAATGTAGTTAACTAATGTTAACTAATGAACCTTATTGTAAAGTGTTACCATATTTATTTATAAATAAATGCATTTGAAATATTTGAAATACCTTTTTATAATAATAATGAAATGATAATAATATGACAACCAATTATGTTAATTTAAACCATTGTGGGGTCATGGATCAAATCCTTTTTTATAGTTATTAAAATATTTATTACCATTTTTTTCAGTCAGAAATACATTTTGAATTCAGTTTCATCTTTTAATTTAAGAAAATAATATAATAAATCATTTCTTTAATGGTTAATCTTTGATCAATAAGGTCTGGAAGCTTGTTTCCTCCACGGAATAAAACAATTTAAAAGATAATTGCGACTATTTATATCACAGTTCTGACACTTGTGAGATAAAAAGTCACAATTACCTTTTTTATTTTTTATTCTTTATTCAGTGATGAAGGTGAAAATGTGTTTTCATTGCAATCTAAACTGTAGTCTATTTGATTTCAGTAGCAGAAAAAAGTTCCAGCGAAAGGGTACGAGCGCAAGTTTCTCAAAGACGGCCCGTCAGAAGTGGCAGTCTCTGGAGAGGAGGATCATGGATATCGTGATGCAGAGAATGACCATCACTAATGTGGAAGCTGATATGGATCGCCTCATCAAGGTGATTGTTAAGACGACGTGTATCAGTAACCTGTATGGGATTGTTGAGTGATTTTGAATTATGTGTCCTCAGAAACGCGAGGAGCTGTCCATGCAGCAGGAGGCGCTGTTACGCAAGAGAGAGAAGTTACTGAGCGAAGGCTTCGGTGAGGATGAGGAGGACAGACTGCTTCAGGAGATGAACGAGGAGATCGAGGTTCTCAATGCCAACATCGACTACATCAGCGACAGTCTGTCAGACTGCCAGGCCACCATCGTTCAGATCGAGGAGAGCAAGGTAACCGGCGACTCGCATGTGACTGCTTGCTTATTGCCTTAAAGGAATACTGCACTGTTTTTTCATATTAAACTATGTTATTCTTTTAAAGGAGTAGTTCACTTTTAAAAAACTTTTGCTGATAATTTACTCGCCCCCATGTCATCCAAGATGTCAACGTCTTTCTTTCTTCAGTCGAAAAGAAATTAAGGTTTTTGATGAAAACATTCCAGGATTTTTCTCATATAATGGACTTCAATGGGAACCAAACGGTTCAAGGTCCAAAAGACAGTTTCAGTACAAACTGTTCAAAGGGCTTTAAAGGACACCAGACGATGAATAAGGGTCTTATCAAGCGAAACGATCGCTCATTTAAAACAAAAAAACAAAGTTTAAGTTTTATAAGCTCAAATGCTCGCCTTGCTCTGTTCTGCGATGCAGGTTTGTGACTCTCCTGTTCGAAGTCGTTCATCAAAATGAACAATTCTTTTTCTGAGTCAATTCATTAATTTTGTTCGTTGAATGAACCAAATGACACGAAAAAAGATTCGTTCATTTTGATAAACGAGTTCGAACAGGAGAGTCACGAACGCGCATCACAGAACAGAGCAAGGCGAGCATTTGTGCTTATAAAACTTAAACTTTGTTTTGTTTTTTTTGTTTTTTTAAATGAGCGATCGTTTCGCTTGATAAGACTCTTATTCATCGTCTGGTGTCGATTAAAGCCCTTTGAAGATGCACTGAAACTGTCTTTTGGACCTTGAACCATTTGGTTCCCATTAAAGTCCATTATATGGAGAAAATCCTGGAACGTTTTCATCAAAAACCTTAATTTTTTTTCGACTGAAGAAAGAATGACATGGACATCTTGGATGACATGGGAGTGAGTAAATTATCAGCTAAAGTTTTTTTTTAAGAGTGAACTACTCCCTTAACTAAGACGAGTTGATACACACCTCTCTCGTCCCACATCGCTCTGGCGCGCAAGACACTTTGATAGCACTTAGCTTAGCCCAGTTCATTCAATATGGGCCAAGCAGAGAAGCAACAAAACACCTCCTTAGAAAAGCACAACGTTTTATTTTATTCGAGTTACACTGCTCGTGTAACTGTATTTAAATAGGGAAAACCTGGAGGTGTTTTGTTGCTTCTCTGCTTGGCCCATATTGAATGAACTGGGCTAAGCTAAGTGCTAACAAAGTGTCTCGCGCACCAGAGCGATCGAGTGCATATATATGTATATATCAACTCGTCTAAGTTAATTATCCCTTTAACAACCATACGGTCATGTGAATGTAATTGAATCCGCACAATTTGCACTTATATTTCCATAAGTGTGTTTTGTAATGGGTGAACTCCTTGCTTTAGGATGAGCTGGACTCAGTGGACACGTCGGTGGTCATCAGTTCCTGCTCGCTGGCTGAAGCTCGCTCTCTCCTGGACTACTTCCTCAAAGCCTCCATTGACAAGGTAAAGCCAAGCAGACAAATCCTCTTTGTTGTCATAGTTTATGCTCATCCGGACTATATAATACAAGATTAAGGTAATGCACTGATTTGAATTTGAATAAATACATAATAAAATTGTATTTGATATAATAATTGAAATCATAACTACTACTGTTCAGAAGTATCTTTTTCTTTTGAACTTTTTTTATCATGGTTTCCATAAAAATACTAAGAAATCTCTAGAAACATTTCTGATTATTATCAAATCAACATATTCAAATGATTTCTGGAGGATCATGTGACACTGTAAACTGGAGTAATGATCAATCACAGGAATAAATTACATTTAATAATATATTGCAATATAAAAGGGTTATTTAAAGTTTATTATAATGTTTCACAATATTGCTGTAAATGCAGCTTTGGTGAGACTTTGTTCAAAAACATGATTTTTTCTGACCCCAGTGGTGTATGGTTGTGTGTTTGTGTGTATAGGGCTTGCAAGTTGCTCAGAAAGAGGCTCAAATTCGCCTGCTGGAGGGTCAGCTGCGGCAGACTGATGTGATTGGCTCTTCCCAAAATCACATGATCCTGGATGCTCTAAGGGAAAAGGCGGAGTGTATCCCTGAGCTACACGCTCTGATCCACAATGTCCAGCAAGGTGAATAATCAGATCATTTTTTGCTGTTCTTTTTTTGGGGATAAAATGTGTAAAATATTTTTCTACCATGAAATATTCCTTTTTGTATGTGCAGCTGACAAGAAACGGATAATAATAAAAATAAAAGATTATAGTTTCAAGTACATTCCACATGTTTATAATTATGGTGTTAATTAGTGATTTTGGTTTGATATGTTCCTCAGAGAATGGCTATGCAAGCACAGATGAAGAGGTGTCTGAGTTTAGTCAGGCGTCAGAGAGCGGCGGGTATGACTACTTTCCACATCATCATACACTTTATCATGAAATAATCTATCACGGTTTCAATTTGAACATCACTGCTCGTCTTTCTGCTACAGTTTCTCCCAAATGAAGTTTTCTGCAAGTCAAGATGACTTTAAGATGAAGGTACAGCTCAAACTTAATGTCTTAGCATTGATCAAATAGTATTATGATTGGATAAATCACATCTAACATAAAAGCTTTGTTAACATTTTATATACACTCACCGGCCACTTTATTAGGTACCCCATGCTAGTAACGGGTTGGACCACCTTTTGCCTTCAGAACTGCCTCAATTCTTCGTGGCATAGATTCAACAAGGTGCTGGAAGCATTCCTCAGGGAGTTTGGTCCATATTGACATGATGGCATCACACAGTTGCCGCAGATTTGTCGGCTGCACATCCATGATGCGAATCTCCCGTTCCACCACATCCCAAAGATGCTCTATTGGATTGAGATCTGGTGACTGTGGAGGCCATTTGAGTACAGCGAACTCATTGTCATGTTCAAGAAACCAGTCTGAGATGATTCCAGCTTTATGACATGGCGCATTATCCTGCTGAAAGTAGCCATCAGAAGTTGGGTACATTGTGGTCATAAAGGGATGGACATGGTCAGCAACAATACTCAGGTAGGCTGTGGCGTTGCAACGATGCTCAATTGGTACCAAGGGGCCCAAAGAGTGCCAAGAAAATATTCCCCACACCATGACACCACCACCACCAGCCTGAACCGTTGATACAAGGCAGGATGGATCCATGCTTTCATGTTGTAGACGCCAAATTCTGACCCTACCATCCGAATGTCGCAGCAGAAATCGAGCCTCATCAGACCAGGCAACGTTTTTCCAATCTTCTATTGTCCAATTTCGATGAGCTTGTGCAAATTGTAGCCTCAGTTTCCTGTTCTTAGCTGAAAGGAGTGGCACCCGGTGTGGTCTTCTGATGCTGTAGCCCATCTGCCTCAAAGTTCGACGTACTGTGCGTTCAGAGATGCTCTTCTGCCCACCTTGGTTGTAACGGGTGGTTATTTGAGTCACTGTTGCCCTTCTATCAGCTCGAACCAGTCTGGCCATTCTCCTCTGACCTCTGGCATCAACAAGGCATTTCCGCCCACAGAACTGCCGCTCACTGGATGTTTTTTCTTTTTCGGACCATTCTCTGTAAACCCTAGAGATGGTTGTGCGTGAAAATCCCAGTAGATTAGCAGTTTCTGAAATACTCAGACCAGCCCTTCTGGCACCAACAATCATGCCACGTTCAAAGTCACTCAAATCACCTTTCTTCCCCATACTGATGCTCGGTTTGAACTGCAGGAGATTGTCTTGACCATGTCTACATGCCTAAATGCACTGAGTTGCCGCCGTGTGATTGGCTGCTTAGAAATTAAGTGTTAACGAGCAGTTGGACAGGTGTACCTAATAAAGTGGCCGGTGAGTGTATATATATATATACTGTATAAACACATATGTTTAAAAGAGGCTACAATTTGCAAGAGCAGTTGAAGACTGGAAAAATGTTGCCTGGTCTGATGAGTCTCGATTTCTGTTGGTAGAGTCAGAATTTGGCGTAAACAGAATGAGAACATGGACCCATCATGCCTTGTTCCCACTGTGCAGGCTGGTGGTGGTGGTGTAATGGTTTTCTTGGCACACTTTAGGCCCCTTAGTGCCAATTGGGCATCGTTTAAACGCCACGGCCTACCTGAGCATTGTTTCTGACCATGTCCATCCCTTTATGGCCACCATGTCCCCATCCTCTGATGGCTGCTTCCAGCAGGATAATGGACCATGTCACAAAGCTCCAATCATTTCAAATTGGTTTCTTGAACATGACAATGAGTTGACTGTACCAAGATGGCCGCCACAGTCACCAGATCTCAACCCAATAGAGCATCTTTGGGATGTGGTGGAACGGGAGCTTCGTGCCCTGGATGTGCATCCCACAAATCTCCATCAACTGCAAGATGCTATCCTATCAATATGGGCCAACATTTCTAAAGAATGCTTGTTGAATCAATGACACGTAGAATTAAGGCGAAAGGGGGTCAAACACAGTATTAGTGTGGTGTTTCTAATAATTCTTTAGGTGAGTGTATGTATACACACATTTATTATCTAAACAAAAGCTTTTATTTTAGATGTGATTAATCAATTTGACATCATAAAACCTATCACTGTATTAAATGGCTCTTAGTGTCTGTTCTGTAATAGCCAGCAGGTGGGAGTGTAGTATTCTGGTGAAATATTCACTGCGTATCCTCTTACAGGTTGAGCCTCGGCTCTCTGTACAAATGAAGGCGGTGTCAGCTGAGTATCTGGGCCCTGTTCTGGACCTCAGCTCCAAGAGCATCACCAAGTCCCTGGCTTCTCTATCAGAGATCCATGAGAACGGCCTGGTCCTCAAAGAGGCCTATTCCAGAGAGCTGGTGTCTCGAACCATCAGCCTGCCTGTCAGAGGACACACTTTGTGAGTGGAGCTCAAATAAATTAGGTGTAATCGTCAGCCTTTTGTAACCTGTCACCTCACAATTGTTCAGTTTTTTTA